TTGCCAAGCACATTGCAAGTGGGTCGGCTCACGAAAGGACTGCTGTATTAATAATATTAACTCAATTGCTATCAATTTCATGAAATCATCTCCTAATTATTTATTAAACAGTTGAGATTTGACATTGATTGTTTTATGTTTTCCCATGAAATGATAGGTTTGACCATTTATTTGTTGCTGTGTGTGGAATATAGGTTAAGGTTATGTATGTAAATTGTGTCAAATAACAAACTTGTATAGTCTCCATTTATGATGGAGTGTCTTTGTTTATTTTGTGCCAACATAAACAGCTAAAAGCAGAGTTCAAAGTACATCGTCATTATCCTGCACATATGTTTGTTATCTTTTAAGGGGTAGAAGAGACTGTTTCTCCAAAAAAAATAACATCTAAAACTGACCTGCAAATGTCTTTTCTCCTTAGTGATTCAGTAGTGTTTACTGCAGGTACAGTTTATTGAAATATCAATCATAAACATATTTGCTTAAATATTAAATCAGATTGATTTATTTATTTAAAATTTATGATGTAGATATTATTAGAAGATGGATGCTGAAGAAAGAGCTCGTCGCCGTGAAGAACGTAGAAAGAAGAGAGAAGCTGAGAGGTACAGTACCCTATGTTGTACTTGAGTAATCACTTAAAGCGAGGGTGTCGTCACCCGCGCATGCGTCAGGTGGCCATAGCGTTTTCGTTGTTTACAAACAAGCCTCCACCCATGAGCCTTTGTGTTTTATACATGCATTGTTTTTGTCAGTTGGGACTCAATTCCCGTGCATGCACAGGTGACGACTCCTCCGCTTTAAAGGGCAAGTCCTGGTTAATAGCATGGTACTCCCAGATCAATGAGCTCCACAAATTCAGGGGAATACAATTTAATCTTTTCTATATCACTTTTCATTCTATAAATTTTTTTATTAGTATATATTGTCTACGATTTTAATATTCCAGCAAAGAATTGTGGGTAAAATATTTCATCACAGCATCTGTTGCAAAAAATCAAATGTCATCTACTGTATGGGAAAAGTATATTTTAAATCTGAACACTAGAGGGCAGTCTTTATTTTACAAACTCAAAAATTACTGTTGGAACTGTTTTGTTGTGCACTATGCATAACTGAAAAAAGAATGGTTTTCTTCATTTAGGTTAGCAAATGCTGCCAATCTTGAACAAGAAGATGAAGAAGCTGCAGCTCGCCGTGCTCGTAGAGAAGCACGTCGCCGGGCAGCTGAAGGAGAGGAACAAAATTCATTGCAAGAAAATGAAACTTATACTTCTAAGACTACATTCAGCAGCAAACAATATGAACCAGATCAGGAAACTGAGTCATATACATCAACGTCTACCTACCAGAGTAGGTATTCCAGAGAACCAGAACCAGAGCCAGAACCTGAACCAGAACCATGAAGAGCCAGAAGAGCCAGAACCTGAGCCAGAACCTCAGATAGAGCCCCAGTTTGCTGATGAACCGGAGCCTGAATTTGAACCAGAACCAGTACCAGAACCTGCAAGATTATCTCGTAAGATAGAGGAACCCACTCCAGTTGATGAAAAGCCAAAGTTGAGGAAGTATGTTGACCAGTAATTTATAATGATGTAACAATGAGGAGGTATTTCATAGCATGGATAGGAGGGTGTGAGTATTATTTGTGAGACAGTGGAAGGCAGTAATTTGTGAAAGTTTATTTGTTGAGGGAATGATTTATCATTAGAGGATATAATGTGAGGGGTGGGTTGAGAGGAGGATTTGTGATGTGGGATTGAGGATATAATTAGTAGAGTAGAGTGGAGTGGGAGTGGGGTGGGTTGAGGGGATGATATGTGATGTGTGATTGGAGGATATATTTTGTGGGGTGGGTTGGATTGAGGAATGATTGGTGAAGGTTGGTATGGGGACTTGATTTGTGATTGATTGGTGGTTGGGTTAAATATAATTTGTTTATTTTTTTGTGTCACTTTTAACAGTTCATATTACTCTTACAAATTTGCTTTTGTTTGTTTGTTTGTTTGTTATAGAGTTCCAACAATTGAGAAGACGGAAGATGAATCTGGGAGTCATGGATCTGAAGCTATTCATCAGCTGGAGGTAACAAATATACAATAGTTTACAATATAAAAAATAATTTTACACTTTTTTTAAATTTATTATTTTGATCCATGTACTTTAGAATGTGTTGACATTTATTAATATTTGCATTGACATTTATTAATAATCTGCAGGAAATTCGTGAAAAACGTCTTCGTGAAGAAGAAGAGAGGATGGAGCAGCAGATGGAACGTAGACGCTTAGAAAGAGAGAGACAGGAACGTGAATTAGAAGAGCTAAGAGAAAGAAAGGTAATATCATGCAACTCTGAAAAATATACATTTTATCGTTTATAAGTGAGTTTTTTCTACTTACTGGTATTTTCTATTCAAACTGAACCTCTGAACCTGGTATAATCACAAAAATATTGTGTTTGTCTTATTACAAGCAAATTACCATGGCAATGTCATCATGTTATCATTTTTTTGATAATGATTTCTGTGCCATATTATGTCAAACAAATTAGAACATGAACTAAGAATACAATTTTATACATATGCTGGAATATCAGAATGAAAATGATAGATTTGAAAATTAGTTAATTTTGAAAATAAGTTAATGAACTGAGTGTGTGAATTAATAGAGATCATGAATTAATTAGTTTTTACAGTACCTCAATATCCTGCAAAATATGTACCGGGTATCTGTGTTGGTTCATATTTGGGTTGCACAAGCTGCTGAATGCCCAGCAAATGGATATGACATTAAAAGTTCAGTTATGTCAATTCTACATCCATTCCTGGTTTTCTGACTGTTGATGTTATTGGGCGTTCACTCCTAAAGCAAAATATTTCTCATGTAAATAAAGTATTTATAGAAAGGTCATTGGATGACTTGATTAGCAAACATATCATTTTTTTTTCTAAACTTTGTTCTGTTAGGAACAAAGAAAACGAGAACAAGAAGAAAGAGAGATGAAACGTCGACAAGAAGAGGCTCAACGCAAAGCCAGAGAGGAGGTAAGACGTGTATTATTTGTTTGCATTGTTCTGATGCTGTAAACTGCTATAATTCCTTGAGACAAAAATTATGAACAATTTAAATCTGTATGGCGAGTCAAAGTTAAAATTTGCAGGCATTCAACCTATTGAATAATAGCAAAAAAATTATCATAAATTTACACAAAAATTGTCTAAAAACATGCAAAACTTTGCCTTTTTGGAACTATTTCCATGGGATCAAGTTAAAGCATTGTTTCAAGAAAATTATTAATAATAATTGTCAGATAATTTGGGATGACCATGAGTAACAATCTTATAATCACATCAGTTATGAGGAAAAATTTTACTATAGGATTCAATGAATATTTGTGCAAAAAGTAGTTCCATCAACTTCCATGACATACTTTTTTATCTGGATTTTTTAAACACAAGTATAAAATGAGCCATATGGAAATAGGTTTAAGTAGCCAACTACCTCATAAAGCATAATTTCTTTTTTGAGAATGTCTATCAGTCATCAAAATCA